GAGGGGAGGGGAGGGGAAAGAAACTCAGAGCATCATGGGGCCCCCCAGCAGCCTAGGCCTATAGCAGCATAACTAAGGGAAGGCTCAGGGTCACCTGATCCAGCCCTAACTATAAGCTTTATCAAAAAGGAATGTCTTAAGTCTAATCTTAAAGGTAGAGAGGGTGTCTGCCTCCTGAACTGAGACTGGGAGTTGGTTCCATAGGAGAGATGCTTGATAGCTAAAGGCTCTGCCTCCCATTCTGCTTCTGTGGACTCTAGGAACCACAAGTAAACCTCCACTCTGAGAGCAAAGTGCTTTGTTGGGATGATAAGACTCTACAAGGTCTTTAAGATATGATGGAGCCTTGTCATTAAGGGCTTTATAGGTTAGGAGAAGGATTTAAAATTCTATTTTGGATTTTACAGGGAGCCAGTGGAGAGAAGCTAACATGGGAGAGATATGATCTCTCTTGCTAGTTCCTGTCAGTACTCTGGCTGCAGCATTTTGGATTAACTGGAGGCTTTTTAGGGAATTATTGGGACATCCTGGTAGTAAAGAGTTACAGTAGTCCAGCCTGGAAGTAACAAATGCATGGACCAGTTTTTCAGCATCACTTTGAGACAGGATGCTCCTGATTTTTGCAATATTGCAAAGGTGAAAGAAGGTAGTTGGAAGGCCTTTATGTCTTTAAGACATGCTTGACGTTTGACCAGCTGACCTGATTCATTTGGCTTCATAGATAAATATAACTGCGTATCATCTGCATAGCAATGGAAATTTATGTTGTGCTTCCTGATAATATTGCCTAAAGGGAGCATGTATAAAGTGAAGAGAATTGGACCTAACACAGAGCCCTGTGGAACGCCGTGACTAACTTCAGTTTGTGTGGAACATTCATCATTAACATGAACAAATTGAAATCTTTCTGATAAATAAGATTTGAACCAACGTAGCGCAGTTCTTTTAATCCCAATAACATGTTCAAGTCTCTGCAGTAAGATGCTGTGATCAATGGTGTCAAAAGCAGCACTGAGATCTAAGAGGACAAGTATGGACACAAGTCCTTTGTCCGAGGCTAGGAGAAGATCATTGGTGACTTTCACCAAAGCGGTTTCTGTACTATGATGGACTCTAAACCCTGACTGAAAATCCTCAAACAAATCATTCTTGTGCAAGTGGTCACACAACTGCTTTGCAACAGCTTTTTCAAGGATTTTGGAAATAAATGGGAGATTGGATATTGGTATATAATTAGCTAGGACACCTCGGTCAAGAGTAAGCTTTTTGAGTAGAGGTTACTGCAACTTTAAAAGCCTGTGGAACATAACCTGTTAATAGAGAGAGGTTAATCACATCTAGTATGGATGTGTTGATTAGGGGAAAGACATCTTTGAGCAGCCTGGTCGGGATGGGGTCCAGGAGACATGTTGATGATTTAGATGAAACAATAGCTGAGGTCAACTCAGAGAGAAGCAGTCTAGATATAAACAAGATCTTACAAATGATTCTAAAGTTATTGTACTTTATGGCATGTCTGTGAGAGTTGTGGGAATGACTTGATAAAAATTTTTTTCTGTAATAGTTTTATTTGTGATATTATTTGTAAAGAAGCTCATGAAGTCATTGCTGCTGAGATCTAAGGGAATGTTAAGCTCAACAGCACTGTGATGAATAAAATGCAGTTCTGGCACTATGAAGGGCTTTCTTATATGTTATTAAACTATCTTTCCAGGCTATGAAAAACTCTTCTGACTTAGTGGAGCGCCACCTCCTTTCCATTTTTCGTGATGCCTGCTTTAGGGAGCGGAGCTGCGAGCTGTACCA